AACGAAGGGGACAGGGATGGTGCCGAGCATGGGTTGGTCTCCATGTCCGTCTCCTCGCCCTCGCTTGCACCGCCAAACCGGAGGCGCTCGCCGTCTGAGCGCACCCCTGCCCGCGCGCCAGTCGCTAGCACAAGCCCTATCCTCGGACGCCCGCCTTGCTTCCATCTCACGTCGGGTGCTCCGGTGCCACCACGAGCGCGTGCTCACCGTTCTCGGGGCTGGCCGAGAGCCGCTGCGCGCCTGCGACGACGCACGCCGCCGCCGCCGCCGAGCGAGCTAGCCGCGAGCAGCGCTTCCCGGTCCACACCTGCGCTTCGGGGCCGCCACGCCGTGTCCTGGAGGACGTCCGCGTTGCACTTAGAGGGCAACTGCACGCTGCCTCAGGGCCCACCGCGCCTCACTGAACGCCGTGCACGCGGGCGGTGTGCCGGAGGGGTAGGGCGCGGCTACGCGTAGGACAACGGGCCAGAGCGTAGCCATGCGCGCTGGTGGCGTGGCTGGCGTGGCCATGCGCCTAAAAGCTCTAGTTTAGTTTTTGTGAATTGATGAAACCCTAAGTGCTAACCTAGTTTATCAAAGTGATCATAAGATAGGTAGCACATTCCAAGTGGTGAAGCAAATGAAGATCATGACATGATGATAGCAATTCCATGATGATGATCAAGTGCTTAGACTTGGAAAAGAAGAAAGAAAAACAAAAGGCTCAAGGCAAAGGTGAAAGCTCTAGTTTGGTTTTGGTAAATTGATGAAACCCTAAGTGCTAACCTAGTTTATCAAGTGATCATGAGATAGGTAGCACACTCCAAGTGGTGAAGCAAATGAAGATCATAGCATGATAAAGATGATGGCATGGTGATGATCAAGTGCTTCGACTTGGAAAGAAGAAAGAGAAAAACAAAAAGCTCAAGGCAAAGGTATAATTTGTAAGAGCTATTTTGTTTTAGTGATCAAGACACTTAGAGAGTGTGATCACTTTTAGGATTGATAGCCGTACTATTAAGAGGGGTGAAACTCGTATCGAAATGCGGTTATCAAAGTGCCACTAGATGCTCTAACTCATTGCATATGCATTTAGGATCTAGTGGAGTGCTAACACCCTTGATAATATTTGTGAAAATATGCTAACACATGTGCACAAGGTGTTTGCGGGGTTGAGATGGGTTTGGGTCCTCTCTCCTCCCGCCGAGCTTATGAGGCTAACGCTTTGGAAAAATGAAATGTCTATTTTCTATTGCGCCGGATGCAAAATTCTTGAGTGGTTGGCACACACTTGAGCAAGGGTGAAGAAGTAAGAGTTGAAATGGAGTTGATCGAAAAATGATGTCAAGCGTCGGTCCATGGCGTGATCCTGACGAATCATCTGTATAACCGGACGCCGATCACTGCGTCCGGTCAACATGACTTCAATGATACAATGGCTTAGGTTGAGCACCGGACGGCCGTCTCAGATCTCGTCAAGGTGGACGGACGCCGTCCGGTCGAAAAAACATGCCTCGGGAGCTTATGGAAACGAATCGGACGATAGCTTCAGCTTCCGGCGTCCGGTCAGTTTATCGAGAAGGTCCGGTCACTTTCATGACCGTTGAAATCGACGAACAACATTTGAAGTCGGGGACACGTGGTGTGAATCACATGACCGGACGCCGAGGGCCAGGCCGTCCGGTCGATCGGACCGAGCGTCCGGTCACCCCACGTTAAGCCCAAAGTGAAGGGGTATAACGGCTCTATTTCATTGGGGCTCTATTTATAGCCCCATGGCCGGCTCAAGGGAGCTCTCTTGCATATTTTCATTGACATAGCAACCTTGTGAGCCTAGCCAAAGCCCTCCCACTCATCTACATCATTGATTCATCATCATAGTGAGATTGGGAGTGAATCCAAGTGCATTGCTTGAGTGATTACATCTAGAGGCACTTGGTGATTGTGTTTCGCTGCGGATTTCGCTTGTTACTCTTGGTGGTTGCCGCCACCTAGACGGCTTGAAGCAGCAAGGATCGTTGAGTGGAGGGGTGATTGTCTCCGACTCGATCGTGGTGATTGTGAGGGTTCTTGACCTTTCCTATGGAGCGCCAAAAGGTACTCTAGTAAATTGCTTGTGGCTTGTGTGATCCTCATCTTGTGTTGGTTAAAGCGGCACCCTATTGAGGGTTTGGCGAGTGATGCCAATCAGCGCGTGAACCTCCAAGTGAGTGAATCGCCACAACGAGGACTAGCTTGTCGGCAAGCAAGTGAACCTCGGTAAAAATCATTTTGTTCATCATTGATTCCGAGGTGATTGGTCATCTTTGTTATTCATCTTCGTGATTGATTGGTTCATTCATCTACACGGCGGTATAACCCTCTTGATCACTCTCTTTACTTTACCGCAAACTAGTTGACAAGCTCTTTAGTGTAGCTAGTTGTGAGAGCTTGCATGCTTGGTTGGTGTGGCTCTTTAGTTAGCCTTTGAGAGCACACTAACATAGGGTAGTGTAATTGCTCTTGTGTGAATTGACACTATCTAAACTAGAATTGTGGTAGGTGGTTTGCATTTTTGAGTAGGCTAGCGCAACACTAGCTTCGCCTCATAATTGTCTAACCATTTGGTTAAGTGTTGTTGTAGAAATTTTTATTAGGCTATTCACCCCCCCTCTAGCCATTAGGACCTTTCAAAAGGTATAAATGGTAGGAGCCTTTTTGTTTCAGTAATCAAGACACTTAGCGAGTGTGATCACATTTAGGTTCGATAGTCGTACTATTAAGAGGGGTGAAACTCGTATTGAAATGTGGTTATCAAAGTGCCATTAGATGCTCTAACTCATTGCATATGCATTTATGATCTAGTGGAGTGCTAACACCCTTGAAAACGATTGTGAAAATATGCTAACACACATGTGCACAAGGTGATACACTTGGTGGTTGGCACATTTGAGCAAAGGTCAGAAACTTCACCAGCGGAGTGTCCGTCCGTAGAGTGCGGACAGTCCGACGGTGCCACCGGCGTCTTGTATAGAAAAGATATGATTTCACAGAGTGCACCGGACGCTAGCCTCAACTAGACCGGTGCGTCCGGTCAGTGGAAGGCAGTGAAGACGCTGGCGTCGGTCTTCGACCGGACGTTGGGTCACTTCGTGATCGGACCCTGATGGGGTGCGTCCGGTCCTGCTGACGTGGCAGCGCACAGAGAAGAGATTGACTGACCAGACGCTGGGTGAGTTCGGTCAGGGGTGACTGGAAGCGTCCGGTCGCGAATTTCCACCTCTAGAAGCTTACTGGAAGTGACCGGACGTGTCCGGTCGCGAGTGGAACCTTACTGGAAACGACCGGACGCTGGGGTCCTGCGTCCGGTCACTTTGAGCAGCGCGTCCGGTCACTACTTAAATGTACTGATGACCGTTGAGATCGGGCGATCGGTGTTTGAAGCCGATGACACGTGACAAGCATCGGGCGACCGGACGCTAGGGTCCTACGTCTGGTCGATCTGACTAGAGCGTTCGATCACCCTGAGTTATGCCCAGTGAAGAGGTACAACGGCTCTATTTTGTGGGGGCTTCTATTTAAGCCCCATGGCCGGCTCTAGCTCACGCTCTTGGCCATTTGCATTGACATAGCAACCTTGTGAGCTTAGCCAAAGCCCTCCCACTCATCTCCATCATTGATTCATCATCTTTGTGAGATTGGGAGTGAATACAAGTGCATTGCTTGAGTGTTTGTATCTAGAGGCACTTGGTGTTCGTATTTCGCTGCGGGATTCGCTTGTTACTCTTGGTGATTGCCGCCGCCTAGACGGCTTGGAGCAGCGAGGATCGTCGAGCGGAGGTTGGTGATTATCTCCGGCTTCGATCGTGGTGATTGTGAGGGGTTATTGACCTTTCTCTAGCGGAGATCCAAAAGGTACTCTAGTAAATTGCTTATGGCTTAAGTGATCCTCATCTTGTGTCAGTTGTGCGGCACCCTATTAAGAGTTTGGCGTGTGATGCCAATTAGCGCGTGAACCTCCAAGTGAGTGAATCGCCACAATGAGAACTAGCTTGCCGGCAAGCAAGTGAACCTCAGTGAAAAATCATTGTGTCATCATTTGATTCCGAGGTGATTAGTCTTCATTGGTATTCATTCTTGTGATTGATTGGTTTACTCCTCGACTCGGCGGTATAACCATCTTACTCACTCTCTTTATCTTACCGTAAACTAGTTATCAAGCTCTTTAGTATAGCTAGTTGTGAGAGCTTGTTAGTTTGGTTAGTGTGACTCTTTAGTTAGCCTTCGAGAGCACACTAATTTAGTGTAGTGACATAGCCATTGTGTGGTTAGAAACTAGAATTGTGGTAGGTGATTTGCATTTTAGTAGGCTAGTGCAACACTCGCTTCGCCTCATATTTGTTTAACCGGTTTGCTAAGTATTGTTGTAGAAATTTTTATAAGCTATTCACCCCCCTCTAGCCATTAGGACCTTTGAGCGCCGCCTCCACCGGTGGAGCCGCCTCCTCGTGTCAAGGATACTGAGACGATGATCAAGAGAGGGATGAAAAATCTAGCCACGCACGTTCTCTTTTTGCGGCCATGGCGGACAATGGCGATGGGATCAGCCAATACAACCCCTACCCTTGATCGTTCTCGACGGGATTGCTTCCAGGAGCTAGCTTTCAACCTTAATCACTAAATGCTACAAGGAATCAAAACGAGAAGGCTCGCACGTGGAGAATTTTGAAAGATGCAGAGGATGGCCATGGCGGACGTGTTCTGGCTTTTATTGCCGAGCATCGCGAGGCAGGCCAGACATGGGCTCAACTGGTGCTCGCGGTGGCTTCTAGAGCACTGCAGGGCGTCCACTTGCGCAGGTGGCGGCGCCGCGGACGCTGGTGGCTGGCGCCACACTTGCCGCGCAGGGGGAGCTTGCCGCTGCCATGGATAAGGCCCAGGCTGCGGATGACGCCCAGGCCCAGACGACAACGTCGTGTGCGGCCGCAGTGTACGCCAAGGAACGACAACCTTGCCTGTGTCTAGCTTGCCCACCTTCCATAATGGCGCTCAAGGGCCTCGTCAAGCTGCAGGAGCAGTCGCGTGATGGCAGCAGCTTCGCCGCCGTGCGCCGGGGCGGAGTTCGGTCGTGTTGGTCGGGGCAGAGCTCGCCCACGGCGGCAGGGGTGGAGCTAAGCTCATCCGCATGTTGGTCGCGGTGGCCGGGGTGCTGGTCGGGTTGGCTGGGATGCCCCAGCACCGCATCGGGCTCTCGGGCGCCATCGATTCGGCCGGGGCGGTGCTGCTACACGGAAGAAAAGAAAAAAGAGAAAGGTTTGGGTGGTTGATAAATAGGTCTCTACTGTAGAGCAACATGATTATTTTATCTGGCTGATTGACATTCTTAGAGTTAAAAGTAAACGGAATGACAGCAAAGTTTAGCGTCGTGGCGTAGGTGTGAGTTCGAACCTTTTATTGGCCTCTAGACGAGTTCGTAACGGCACACAGCTAAAAGCCTCGTTTATATCTCTCTAACGAGCCGCCGGCCCCAATCTCCGCCGCCGCGACGCCGAGGACACACCAGACACCTCACTGATGGCGTTGGCTCGCCTCGGACGGTCTCTTGCCGGCCGCCTACACCGCTCTATCTACCTTCCGCCAGCGCCCACGTAACCCCCTCTCCCCCTATCCACTCGTTCTAGATCTCGATTGATTTCTGCAACGCGAGCGCGAAGATTCTCACACCCGATTCCGTTTCGGTTTCAGAGACTACCATGCCGCCGTTTCCCGATCCTTCTCTCCGACCCACACAGGCGTATGCGTAAGAGGTGATCGGGTGATGGCTTGCTTCATTGCTCGTCTGTTCCTGTTCAAGTCCTCCATGCACTTCCATTTCAATCAGTCTATCTCATCAATTGGTAATTAGGTTTTGCAAGCTTGACGTGCGATGCCAGCAGCATGATTGGTCACAATCTCGAGGGGCCGTTGCCGGTCCACATTGTGAAGGTTCGAGTTATTGAGTGCTATGCGGTTTGAAATTTCTTGTTGTTCTTACTCAGTTTTGGTTACACACGTTTGTGTTTCTGCAGGTTCTGGATCTTGTAGTACATCTGAATCATGCTAGACCGATGTCAACATCAGCACCGGCAGTGGCACAGTCAAAGGTGCCCGTTGGAGCCCGGAAGGTGTGAGAGAACATTCTGATTTACTTTCGTCATTTTCTCCACTTGGAAGTGTACTGTGTTAATTGTAGTTATGTTTGTTACATATATGTCCAGGTTGGTCTGAAGGTTGTCATGATGAGTCCTGGTTTTGTATATGAGCCGTACAGCCCACGGGGACACATTCCCTTCTGGAAAAGGTTTTTCTCTTAGTATATATTTTGACCATGTGTGATTCTGATTATCCTTAGAGATTTCAGAATATGGCACTCAATGCCTATTTCTGTTCATCTGGTTGTGTGAGGAATATCTGCTATTGCTGCAGTACATAGCTACTATTAGACTGGTATAGTTCACCATGCCTCAAAAGAATGAAATTTTGTTTGAAAGTTTTAGCTAGTGAATAAATATCTTGAAACATCGATTTGCTATATGCATGAGACCTATAATCTTTTGCTAGTTCTAGCGACTAACAAATGATGTTTTGGACATTAACAATAACTTCAGAACACAAGTTTGATCTGCACCTCATATTGCAATGTCCTCCCTCCGTTCCAAACTATAAGACGCTTTGGCTTTTCTAGATACATTGCTTTTAGTGTATTATAAGTACATAGCAAAAGCTATGTATCTAGAAAAGCCAAAACATCTTATAATTTAGAATGGAGGGAGTATTTCAGATTCTGTTAAAATTGTAATAGAGTTAAATGCATGAGCGGCCCCTGAACTTGTCAAGGGGTGTCATTTAGGTCTACGAATTTGAAAAATGCATTTCTGGGTCACTTAACTTGTTAACTGGTGCACCGTAGGTCCACACTAGCCATGTTGGCAATTTTATCTGACGTGGCACGCCACTATAACGCTGATTGTGTCTGCTATTTTGCATTTAACCCCTCGTCTTAGACTCGTCTATTTGTGTTTAAGAGAGAGAGGCTGCACTCAAGGACACCGCTGCTCACTTTGGCCCCGCGAGCCGACGACCGTGGCCTCGCAGCCAGCGCCGACCGTGTTGGCCGCGCTAGCAACTAGCACCGCCCGCAGCCTAGCCTTCACGAGAAGCCACCGCGAACCGATGGACGAGCACCTTCGTTGTGGCTGTGAGCCTGTAACATGGCCCTTGCTCCCTACAGCAGCCGCAGCCGCGAAGCCGGGCCCGGCAAGTCGAGCTTCTCCTGCCATAGTTATCTTCTACCTCAGTCATCCACTCATCCTTGCCCAGGCTGTGCCTGCGCGCGCTGCGAGTGATGAATTCCGTGATCGATCCATGGCAGCAGCGGCCAAGTCCATCAACCGGCTTGCGGCGCACCAAGTTGTCCCGGTCAAGCCCACACCAGCCGACCTGCTCCGCCTCTTCTGGCTCGACCGGTAGCCCACGTAGATGGCGCTCATCGAGTCGCTGACTCGCTGCACGTGTTCAAGGTGGCCCCCGACCGGCCGGTCACCGCCACCAATACCGAGGGCATTGACGGCGCCGCCGCCAGCCCAGCCAGGACCATCGAGCGCTCACTCGCCTGGTCTATCGGAGTCCCGGCGCGTAGCAGGCGGTAGACATGGACTGCAATAACGTCGGCGTGTGGTTCACGGAGGCCGAAGCCGGCTACACCCTCGTGGGCCTCCGCTTCAGCCACGCCATCGCCGACGACCCGGGCGCCGCGCAGTTCATGAACGCGGTCGGGGAGCTGGCCCGCGCCGCCGCCGCAGGCGCGGTGTCGGTGGAGCCGCAGTGGGGCCGTCGGCCATGACGCGATCCCAGACCCCGTGGCCGAGTTCGAGCCGGACTCCCCCGTGCACCTCTGCTTCGCCATGAACGCGCGGCCCATGCTGTACGCCTCGCTCCCGCGGGGCGGCGCCGGGTTCTACGGCAACTGCTACTACATCGAGACGCAGGAGCCGGCAGGCGACAGATCTCACTGACGCGGACCGTGTAGGGCTGCAGGATGTTGCAGAGGATTGAGATCTCGCCGAAGGAGCTCTCTGGCTCCAACATTAGCAGAGGGATGGGGATCGTGAGCCACCACCAAGGCCGCGCCACCAAGCTCGCTGGCAAGCCCACTGTACGACCGCCAGCATCCCCTGTGAAGGATGAGGAGGGTGCGCCACCACCATGGCTGCGCCGCCGCAGCAACCGGTGGCTAGCGCCGCCCATAGGCTTGTCGGTTGCACGCTGCCAGTGCATTTGCGGGCCGCGGGCCGCCCCTGTTCTTGCCGTCCCCCGACCCCGTCTCGGCTTCCAAATGGCCTTGGCCTCAGACACAAATCCGCTCCCTCCCGGAGCTCCCTCTCTCTCTGTCCTTTTTTTAAAACACAAATAGACGAGTCTAAGACAAACGAGGGGTTAAACGCAAAATAGCAGACACAGTCAGCGTTATAGTGGCGTGCCACGTCAGATAAAATTGCCAACATGGCTGGTGTGGACCTGTGGTGCACCAGTTAACAAGTTTAGTGACCCAGAAATGCATTTTTCAAGTTCGTGGACCTAAATGACACCCCTTGACAAGTTCAGGGGCCGCTCATGCATTTAACCCATTGTAATATTACCAACTTGGGACTAAAAGGCTTTGTTGCTGTTGTACTATAATTGTAATAATAATATTATGTAATATCAGTTATTACGTATATACATGTTCCACTTCCATATGTTTGACTACAACAACAACAACAACAACAAAGCCTTTAAGTCCCAAACAAGTTGGGGTAGGTTAGAGTTGAAACCCAACAGAAACAATCAAGGTTCAGGCACGTGAATAGCTGTCTTCCGAGCATTCCTATCTAAGGCTAAGTCTTTGGGTATATTCCATCCTTTCAAGTCTCCTTTTATTGCCTCTACCCAAGTCAACTTCGGTCTTCCTCTGCCTCTCTTCACGTTACTATCCTCGACTTAGGATTCCACTACATGGTGCATCTGAAGGTCTCCGTTGCACATGTCCAAACCATCTCAACCGGTGTTGGACAAGCTTTTTTTCAATTGGCGCTACCCTTAATCTATCACGTATATCATCGTTCCGAACTCGATCCCTTCTTGTATAACCGCAAATCCAACGCAACATACGCATTTCCATGACACTTAGCTGTTGAACATATCGCCTTTTCAGAGGCCAACATTCTTTCCATACAACATAGCAGGTCTAATCGTGGTCCTATAAAACTTACCTTTTAGCTTCATGGTACCCTTTTGTCACATAGGACACCCCCTTGCCAACTTCATCCACCTGCTTTGATTCTATGGCTAACATCTTCATCAATATCTCCGTCCCTCTGTAGCATTGATCCTAAATATCGAAAGGTATCCATCCTAGGCACTACTTGACCTTCCAAACTAACATCTTCCTCCTCCCAGTAGTAGTGCCAAGTCACATCTCTCATACTTGGGTTTTTTAGTTCTACTAAGTCTAAAACCTTTGGACTCCAAAGTCTCCCGCCATAACTCCAGTTTTTGATTCACTCCTGTCCGGCTTTCATCAACTAGCACTACATCGTCCGCGAAAAGCATACACCAAAGGATGTCCCCTTGTATGTCCCTTGTGACCTCATCCATCACTAAAGCAAACAAATAAGGGCTCAAAGTTCCATATGTTTGACTAATATTTGTAAATCTATTGTTGCTTAAAGTTAAAGTAGTTGGACCACAAGCATTGTAGGATAAGGCCTATTTTTGCTGGAAGGAACATAACAAGTAACAATCTGGCTAACCAGACTAAGACATGCTTCATTGAGCAGGGACATCTAGGCATTCTTTCTACCCTTTCATATGTATCCTATTTAAGGATAATAAGATGCTAGTGTTATCATTGTGTCTGTTCCTGCATTAAGTATACTCAAAATTGTTGCCTTAGTTCCGAAAGGTACAACTACAAACTTTGTGGCGTTATATGGTCTTACAAATTCAAATGTTTGTGAAAATAATTCATGTTGTATGACAAGAAAGAACTTGTGATTTCAACTTGGATTTGTTCTAAATTAGATGGTTTACACTAAGTGGCTGGAGAAGGACAAAGGAGGACATCATTTTGGAGGTACTGAATCTTCTATGCTGCAAAAGCTACCTTCCACATTAGTTACCTTTCGTTTTTCTGGTGATCAACTTTGATTTCGATTTGTTGTTTCATCTTTTCTCAGCAATTTAGTTCAGGGTTTTGAAATCCAAATGCTCACTTTCTCTCATCCTTGGTAGCACAATGCTCCTGTGCACCACTGCTGAAATCAACCTAGTGTATATACTGTAAATAATTGTGCATGCTTAGGCATACAATGTTCCTTTACATGACGTAAAGAGCCATGATATACTATCAGAAATCTATAGCTCCTTGGTTATACTGGTTTAGGCTCATAAATCTCTGGATTCTTTTCACTTCTCAAATTTTCTTGTTACAGTGGTTTAATGCTTTATGTGACAGAGTGATGCGATTGGATATCATACTTTTGATCCAATATTCCAATCCTGTCACCACTCACCTTTTCATTATTTTCTTATCACCTATGTGATGTGAGGATCTCAGATATTTGATTGTTGATCACCTATTTTTCTTTATGCTATTTTCTTTCACCAAATATGTGCTGACTAGCTTAGGTGCCTTAACAGATGAAGAACGCATATGCTGTTTCAAGGCTGAGGAAGAAAACTGGGTATACCAAAAAGCAATTCTATGATCAAGCATTAAAAATATACAAGGAGGTACATCTTATTTATTTGTTGGAAACTGCTCATATAATTTAAGAAGTTAGACTACATTGGTGTGAGTTTCAGACTTGCTTGCATGTACCGCAATCTGGTTTCTGGTTTATGCAGTGTTTAAATTCTTAGAATAAGAAATAATACCTAACACGTTTCGGCAAGTGTATAGTTTCATGAGAAGACAAGATAAATGAAACTAGATAGGTTTATTAGCTATTTAGCAAATCGACTGTCCAAATTATTGATCTACTTGCTTTATGGTTTTGACTTTTTCTTTGCTAGTTCTAATAAACCACTCAGACAGATTTGTAGTAACAGCTATTAGCCTAGTGATGAAGTAGCCATTATCCTGATCACATTGTGTGGATGTTTGCAGGGCCTTTACAGAAATTTTCAACATGATCCATTTAACATTTCTGTCCAATGTTGCCCTTAATCTGTCATTGGCTGGTGATTTTGTTTTCATCTTTTGAATTGCAACAGTTGCAAGATCAGCGTTGATCTTGCAGCTGTTGAGCGCATAGCACATGTGACTTGTATTAACAATGTCTAATCATGAAGTTTTATAATTTTAACACTTCCAACTTTCGAAAGAAACAGTGTCCTCCCATGAATACTGTTCATATGCCAGTGGCAGCCCTATGACACAAATTGAAGTTCTTATTGTCATGATATCACCAGCTCTACCTTCTTTTACTAAACATATGCCATTTTAGCCTTTCCATTTTGCTGCTAGATATATATTATATGTCATTTCGCCATTGCAATTTTTACATTCACTGCAGTCACAATCGATCATTAACTAAAATATATCTTCCTAAGAGAAATTTGTCCCTCTTAGCATGGGAAAGTACAGAATATGTTCATCAAGTAACTATCATCGCATCATTGCCATTTCCCTTGTGCTTGTGCAAGAACCCAGGGTAACATCTACTTAGAAAGTAGAAATAGAGTACAAGTGCATAATACAATCTTTTTAACCTGTGAAATGCCTCTGTGTCTGCTCACATTGTTTAATCTACTTGATTCAGGTTAACACTCTGATGGCACATGGAGACACATCATCGCTCCGGAAAATTCTGACCGAGAGGATGCATTCTGTAAGGCCCTGTTTAGATGCTAAGTTTTTTTTTTTTTGTAGTTTTAGAAAATACCATGGTTTTGTGTAATAGTTTTGTTTTGGAAAACCATGAGGTGTTCGAATGTAACAAACCTGGTAAGTTTGAAAGCTATGATATGCTAAAACTGTAGTCTTTTGGAGTTTTAGAAACTCAACTCTAGACCCCTTTTTTCTAAACCTTGGTTTTGTACATCTCAAGATTCTAAAATTACAGTTTTCTAATACCACGGTTTCTGAAAACTACAGCATTAAAAAAGGTCCTTATTTTTGAACAAATTCATGCTAGATGATTTACAAGGATTTTGCTGTTTATTATTTCCTCTTTTCTTTTCGGCTGAAGACTATAAAAAATGAACTAAAGAGAAGACAGTCCATGTGGAATTCTGTACACTGGGAACTGGTGGAGCCTGCTGTTAGTATCAGAACTTTGAGGGCTCGCATGGTAAGCTACTTCTGTTAGACTGTATATCTGTACGTTCCAATGTTCCATAGATGAATTAGCATATTGTGGTATGTACACCTATTTAAGATCAAGGTGTACATGCTAAATTTTTTAACTCCAATATAATCTCTCTAATAAATTTATATTTGTTGTACTATGTTTTCCTGATTGGATATAGTTGGAATGTTTTTTGCTTTGCAGATTGGCCTCGATAAGAATGACCTTGATAAAGCTTTTATACAACTTACACTTGAGTTTGTTACAAAACAGGTTTCATTCTCTCAGACTTCTCGTGCAATTTAATCTAGTTCATATATACCTACGTTTGTTTGTGTTTGAATTATTAGCTTGATGCAGAACATGATTCACTGGTCGTGTTCTGTCTCTTTATCTAAATTTCATAGCTTGTATCTTCATTAATTGCTCTCCACTTTTAAGTCATGCTCTTTATCTTTAAAATGGATAATATCTCCTGTTTACACAGAACAATCATGGGAGCTGTGTATCTTTGCATATTCATGTTTTATTTTCCTTGTACAATCCTTTACTGTTCAAGGATGGTGTGGTGGAGGTGAGAAGGCAAGGGGATAGGATCATCTTAGTTAAACCTATCATTAGTGATATGGTCTTAAACGTAATTAGTGCGTATACCCCCCAAGTAGGCCATGATGAGAGTGCTAAGCGGGTTTTCTGGGAAGACTTAGATCGCTTGGTTAGAGATGTCCCTAGTAGTAAGAAGCTCTTTATAGGAGGTGATCTTAATGGCCATGTAGATACATCAAGTGTAGGTTTTGAGGCGGTTCATGGGGTTTTGGATATGGTAGTAGGAACCAGGAGGGAGAGGAAGTCTTAGACTTCGCCATAACTTTTGATCTGATGATAGCTAACACTTTCTTCCGTAAGAGAGTCCCATTTAGTGACCTTTAGTAGCGGCCATTTCTCTAGTCAAATCGACTTTGTCCTTACAAGAAGGAGGGATAAGCGAACATGTGTGGACTGTAAGGTGATACCTGGAGAATGTATGGTCGCTCAACACAAGCTGGTGGTGGTTGACTTTCGCTTTCTGGTGTAAGCTCGTGGGAACAAACAAGCTTGGGTTGCTAGAACGAAGTGGTGGAAATTAGAAGGGGAGGCATCAAAGATCTTTAAAGAAAGGGTCATTGAAGATGGCCCTTGGAATGATGAAGGCGATACAAACAGCATGTGGGAGAAGATGGCAACATGCGTTCAGAAGATTGCTTCAGAGGTGCTTGGAGTGACCAAAGGGAGCGGATGCGACCCGAAAGACACTTGGTGGTGGAATGAAGATGTGCAAAAGGCTATTAAGGAAAAAAAGGAGTGCTATAAGCGCTTGTATCATGACAGGTGTGCAAACAACATAGAGAAGTACAATGTGGCAAAAAGAAGACTGCAAAACGAGTGGTGAGTGAGGCAAAGGGGCGGGCCTATGAGGACCTTTACCGATGTTTGAGTACGAAGGAAGGAGAGAAGGACATTTATAGGATGGCTAGGGCTCGCGATAGAAAGACAAGGGACTTCAACCAAGTCAAGTGCATAAAGGATGAGAGGGAGCAGCTCTTGGTGAAGGAGGATGGGATCAGACATAGATGGCAAGAGTATTTTGATAAATTGTTCAATGGTGAGAACGAGAACACCGTTCAGCTGGACGACTCGTTTGATGACACTAACAGGCGCTTTGTACAGAGGATTTAAGAATCGAAGGTCAGAGAAGCCTTGAAAATGATGAAAGGGGGCAAAGCGATGGGCCCTGATGTTATCTCAATCAAGGTGTGGAGATGTCTCGGGGATATAGCTATAGTATGGCTAACCAAGATGTTCAATAATATCTTTCGATCGAACAAGATGCCTGAGAAGTGGAGAAGAAGCATATTGATACCAATCTACAAGAACAGGGGAGATATCCAAAGTTAATCTATAAGTATCCAAAGTTAATCTATAAGAACAAGGGAGATATCCAAAGTTGTACTAATTATCGGGGAATTAAGTTGATGAGCCACACTATAAAGTTATGGGAGAGAGTCATCGAGCAGCGCCTGCGAGGAACGACGCAGATATCAACAAACCAATTTGGTTTCATGCCCGGAAGGTCAACCACAGAAGCAATCTTCTTAATAAGACAGGTTATGGAGCGGTTTAGACAACAGAAGAAGGACCTCCACTTGGTTTGGAGAAGGCTTATGACAAGATATCAAGAAATGTTATGTGGTGGTCTTTGTAGAAACATAAAGTCCCATCAAAGTACGTGGCCCTCATCAAGGACATGTACAACAATGTTGTGACTAGTGTTCGAACAAACGATGGTAATACATATTACTTCCCGATTAAAATTGGACTTCATTAAGGGTCAGCCTTAAGCCCGTATCTCTTTGCCTTGGTAATGGATGAGGTTACCAGGAACATACAAGGGGATATCCCTTGTTGTATGTTGTTCGCTGATGATGTAGTATTAGTGGACGAAAGCCAGACGGTAGTAAATAGGAAACTAGAGTTATGGCGGCAGACCCTTGAGTCTAAAGGTTTTAGATTGAGTAGAACTAAAACCGAATACATGAGATGCAACTTTGGCGGAGTTGTACAGGAGGAGGGAGGTGTGAGTTTGCAAGGTCAAGTAGTGCCTAAGAAGGATACCTTTCGGTATCTGGGATCGATGCTACAGAGGGATGGAAATATTGATGCGGACGTTAGCCATAGAATCAAAGCAGGGTGGATCAAGTGGCGACAAGCTTCTGGCATTCTCTGTGACAAGAGTGTACCACATAAGCTAAAAGGCAAGTTCTATAGAACGGCGATTAAACCGGCTATGTTGTATGGAACAGAATGTTGGCCTACAAAGATTCGACATGTTCAACAACTGAGTGTTGCAGAAATACGTATGTTGCGATGGATTTGCGGTCTCACAAGAATGGACCGAGTTCGGAACGATGATATACGTAATCTCCTAGAGGTAGCACCACAACAACAACAACAACAACAAAGCCTTTAAGTCCCAAACAAGTTGGGGTAGGCTAGAGTTGAAACCCAACAGAAACAATCAAGGTTCGAAGCACGTGAATAGTCAGCTCTTCCAAGCATTCCTATCTAAGGCTAAGTCTTTGGGTATATTCCATCCTTTCAAGTCTCCTTTTATTGCCTCTACCCAAGTCAACTTCGTCTTCCTCTCGCCTCTCTTCACGTTACTATCCCGACTTAGGATTCCACTACATATAGGTGCATCTGAAGGTCTCCGTTGCACATGTCCAAACCATCTCAACCGTGTTGGACAAGCTTTTCTTCAATTGGCGCTACCTAATCTCTCACGTATATTATCGTTCCGAACTCGTTCCCTTCTTGTATGCCCGCAAATTCAACGCAACATACGATTTCCGACACTTTAGCATTGAATATGTCGCCTTTTCGTGAGGCCAACATTCTCGCACCATACAACATAGCGAGTCTAATCGCCGTCTATAAAACTTGCCTTTTAGCTTCATGGTACCTTTTTGTCACATAGGACACAGGCAGACGCCACTTCATCCACCCCGCTTGATTCTGTGGCTAACATCTTCATCAATATCCGTCCCTCTCAGAGCATTGATCCTAAATATCGAAAGGTATCCATCCTAGGCACTACTTGACCTTCCAAACTAACATCTTCCTCCTCCCGAGTAGTAGTGCCGTGTCACATCTCATATACTCAGTTTTTAGTTCTACTAAGTCTAAAACCTTTGGACTCCAAAGTCTCCCGCCATAACTCCAGTTTATTTCACTCCCGTCAGACTTTCATCAACTAGCACTACATCGTCCATGAAAAGCATACACCAAGGGATGTCCCTTGTATGTCCCTTGTGACCTCATCCATCACTAAAGCAAGCAGATAAGGGCTCAAAGCGACCCTTGATGTAGTCCTATCCTAATCGGGAAGTCATCCGTGTGTCCATCACTTGTTCAACTCTAGTCACAACATTGTTGTACATGTCCTTAATGAGCCCGATGTGTTACGTTGGGACTTTATGTTTGTTCAAAGCCCACCACATAACATTCCTTGGTATTTTATCATAAGCCTTCTCCAAATCAATAAAAACCATGTGTAGGTCCTTCTTCTTCTCCCTATACCGCTCCATAACTTGTCTTATTAAGAAAATTGCTTCCATGGTTGACCTTCCGGCATGAAACCAAATTGGTTCATAGAGACCATGTTATTGCTCTCAAGCGATGCTCGATAACTCTCTCCCATAGCTTCATAGTATGGCTCATCAACTTAATTCCCCGGTAATTTGTACAACTTTGAATATCCCCTTTATTCTTGTAGATCGGTACCAATATACTTCTCCTCCACTCATCAGGCATCTTGTTTGATCGAAAATATGGTTGAACAACTTGGTCAACCATACTACAACTATATGTCCCCGAGGCATCTCCACACCTCGATTGGGATACCATCCGGTCCCCATCGCCTTACCTCCTTTCATCCTTTTCAACGCCTCTCTGATCTCAGATTCTTGGATTCTCCGCACAAAGCGCCTATTGGTGTCATCAAAAGAGTCATCCAACTGAAAGGTTGTGTCCATATTCTCACCATTGAACAATTTGTCAAAATACTCTTGCCATCGATGTCGGATCTCATCCTCCTTTACCAAGAGATGCTCCCTTTCATCCTTAATGCACTTAAATTGGTTGAAGTCCCGTGTCTTTCTCTCACGAACCCTAGCCATCCTATAAATGTCCTTCTCTCCTTCCTTCAGACTCAAATGTTGGTAAAGATCCTCAGATGCTCTAACCTTTGCCACACTTACAAATTCGCTTTGCGCCTCTTCTTTGCCACCTTGTACTTCTCTATGTTGTCCACACTCCTGTCATGGTACAAGCGTCTATAGCATTCTTTCTTCTCCTTAATAGTCCTTTGGACTTCCTCGTTCCACCACCAAGTGTCTTTAGCCTCGCGTCCCCTTCCTTTGGTTACTCCACACACCTCTGAGGCTACCTTCCAATGTTGGTTGCCATCTTGTCCCACATATTGTTTATGTCGTCTTCTTCCTTCCAAGAGCCCTCTTTGATAACCCTTTCCCTAAATACCTCGGACGCTCCCCTTCAGGTTTCCACCACTTTGTTCTTTCAATCTTAGCTTGTTTATCCCTCACGAACAAACGTCTGCCACCAAAAGCTTATGTTGAGAAACAACACACTCCCGGTATCACCTTGCAATCCAAGCATGCTCGTTTGTCCTTTCTTCTTGCGAGGACAAAGTCAATCAGCTCTGATGTTGTCCGCTACTGAAGGTCACTAGATGAGATTCTCTCTTTCTA